AAACCCGAGCTGCACTTCTCAGGTCACATGTTCCATTTCATTTTTAAAGAATCTAGAAACAAACTAAGCAGTTGATAACAGGTCAGTTGCAGGTGATAAAAGAGATTTTAGATGGGACATTACTTCTTCTTCCACACCTGGCATAACCACATTATATCCTTTGCAGTTGTCTTTAAGCGCTGGTATGTTTGTTCATAAACATATGGCATAAACAATACATCACTATCTGAATTCAAGGACACAATGCATTTTTAAAGATAGTCACCATATGCCATAGATTCCTCACTGGAAAAATATTGATGTTAGAATTTTTTTAAATTTAAACAATAAAGGCTGACTTATTCCTAACTGAAGTTTACCATTAAAATATAGTGGGTCTTGAAAAACAGGACTATTTCATTCAGTATTGTTCAGAGATTTGATATTGGAGGGATTTAAGAATCAAGTGTGTAAAATACTCTTGAATTTATCTTATTTTTCTTTCAAATACCCCATGAAATTATGAAGACTGTTTTAGAAAAAGTGGTAATATATATATATATCACATTCACACTTTCAGAAGAAGCTAAAAGAAGTCTGGCACTAAACATCTTAAATTTTAATCAAACCATTATTTTTAATAACTGTGCAGACTATAAGAGGCCAGATTTTTATCTAGTTAGCAGTTGAGGAGTCCAGTGCTTGTCTTAGACTGTGAGTAACTTCGAATCATATTAATTATAGCTGTGCTGAAATTTACAAGATAATTGTAAATTTTGTTTCTAAAAATACATTATATGGACTGTTGATCCCAGGCGAATGCTAAAAAAATACTGTATAGTTATTGTTTTTTAGATTATTATGCATTTTGAAGCTAAGACAGATGTACAAAAAGATGCAGTTTTTATTTTGTATTGGCAGCTTCCAAATATTTAGTATCTATTTCCAAGAGCTGCAATTAGTAAAGCATCCATGGTACTGAAATCCACACATCCCACAAGCTAATTATATTTGCAAGGTCAGATTGAATACATATTTTCAGAAAAATAAAGGGTTATATAAATGTGTCTTCTACTTGGCTGTTATATCACAGTTTGTTGATCTGGAGTATAATGTGTACAATTCACAAATTTGTCTGATAACAGAAAGTGGTGTGTGATTGTGTTTATTTTACTAACCAGTATATTCACAGCAATCACTTCCAAATATCTCTCCAGTAAAGATGTGTTAATTACAAAACAGACAAGGTCTTCTATTATATTAAAGCTACTAACAAGAAGACAGCAGGAATCACACATGTAAATAGCATCATCAACCCCTATTTTAGTCCTCTGTTTTGATCTGTGAGTTGCGCATAGACCAAAGGTGCTATTAAAGACTCAGTATATGAAATAGGCAGCATTATATGAACAAAATTTATTCAACAAGAAAACAGACCTTTAACATGAATTTAACAAGCCTGAGAAATTATAAACTCTCATATGCTGCAGATTCATGCAGTGATAATAAACAAAAAAGGAAAGTAAGAGGTTTCCTTAAGCTAGCCAAACTGCTAATGGTTTTGTTATAAGCTGTCTGCTGTTGAAATGACCTCTGAAAAGTCTGAAGACACTTACACAAGGAAAAATTAAATGGTCAGAGTGGTGAAAGAGTTGCACAATGGAAGTGCATTAAAAAAAAAGAATCTACCTTCATATTTCTGGAAAACATCCCCGTGGCATAGACTTTTGTTCAACTTTTTAATGTCTTTTCAGAAAGGGAATTTAGCTTGAAGCTTGGAAACTGGAGTTTTTACTAAAAGATACATGCTGCATTAGGTAATTCAAGTGCAATGAAAGCTTAAAATTTTTGGTTGGGAAATAATGACTTCTTACTAACAAAAATCTAAGAAACTGAGTCGGGGGTTATACTGCTTTTAATTAATCCTTAGAATTTCTTTGTTCCAAATACTGTGTCAAAGTTTCCATTGTAGAATATGGGGTGACCGTGTTTCTGTCATTGCATCATGCTGTACTTTGAAATACACAAACGTAGAGATGAGACTTCAGCTTGTACACACCTCCAAGTGCTCACTGGGGCTTTTTTCTTGGATCTTACTGTGGCATAATTAACACCTACTTCACCCATTGCTCATTAGTACACTGGACATTAATGAGTCTATTTTTTTTTATGTAATCCGCTAAAGGTGGGACTGATTTATGCTCACTGTGAAAAAAGCAATTGCATTTCATAGAAATGAATATGTAGGATTTATTGTTGTATTTATGTTTTTATTGCGTATTAGGTCTATATTTAGCCTTCAGGTTGCTGAGCATGTTAGTTTCTTTAAGATGGTTGCTATAGTGATAGCAGCAAATTCCTTTAATCTTAGTGTAGTTAAAGTATTTAGTTCCCATTGGTCATTACAGTGCAACTGAGATGAAAAATATCATTTGCTCACATACTTTTTGTACCCCTCTGAGATTGTAGGAATTGCAGTTTTATCCCTTTTAAAATCATAACATTTGCGATTTGTGGGTTTAATTTTTCATACCACATTCTGTTAGATTTCTGTTTGTTCTACTTTGGAAATACTTTCATGTCATTCCTTCAGGAGGACGGATAGAAAGTACAGTATTTTCCCAAACAGATAGTACCTGAAACGTATCGGAAGTTACTTCAGGTCAGGATTAAGATGCTAGAGTAAAATTCAGTATCGCTTGGAAATATTTTAGCAACTCATTCTCGTATTTTAATGTGAAATTTGACTAATCTTGAGAACACTAACTGAAATGTTGAATTTTCTTAATGAAACAAAATTAAATAATTTTTTTTATTTTGGTTTCTCCTTCTGTTTTACATGACTAAAGTCCCAAAAGAAATCCATGCTGGATGATGCCATTCTTTTTGGATAAGCTCAACATTGTCTAGTGAAGCTCTTCATTAAACTGAGATCTAAAAGTGTGGCCATTAGTTATAAAGCAGCTCCTTGTCATTCTAGTATACTGCCAAGTTCATGTTCTTGCTCCTTAGGGTAAATTTTTGCTCTCTTGGGGTTTTTTTCCCCTTATATAACTAGTCTTGGGAGAACCTGTGTGGATTTCTTTTTTACTTTGCTTGACTTTTTAATTTATACTGCCTGTTTGTTATGGTCGGGCATTTCCAGGTGTTCATAAATTAGAGCATCTGGTTAAAATGGAATACAGAGATATATACAAAAGCTTATCCACAAGTGTTTTGAGATAGAGAAAAATCTGATAGTACTAAAAAAGGAAAAAAAAACCCAGAGTTACTTTGTACGTTACAAGAAAGAGTGTATAGATATATAGAAACTGTTTCAGATATTTTTGAGAATTAAATACTTTTAAATGTAATTCTTTTTTTTTAGCATTGGTGTCAGATAGCATGCTTCTGCTGCATATTAAATCTGAATTGTGAGGTTTTTTGTCCAGAAAAAAAATATCACTGTCAACTCACTTTAATTGGGTCACGACATTTTTAATAAGATCATTTTTGGAAGGTTTTCTGCATGCAGTTTTAAGACATGACACATGCAGATGGATCTGGCCAGCAGCTGAGAGTCCAGGCAACAGCCCATAGTGGCACCCAGTCACTCAACACCACTGTCTCAACTGGGTCTCAGAAGTAAATACAACAGGTGATAAGTTGGTGGGCTTTTTCAGTTTACACTTGATAATTTATTTTATTATAAATACTTGCTGGTTCACTTTATTTCCTAATGACCTCAATATTTTTCTTGTAATCTTAAAACCTGCATATGTAGTTATTATTATTTGTGTAAATGGAGAGGAAAATGCTGGAACAAGGTAGGAGACTCGATGTCACTTTCTCTGAAGACTTTTAGTGACAGTGGTTGATTTCTTGTTTGCACAACATAAAATATTTGGTTCAAATCTAATTCCTCAAAATACCAAACCAGCCATATAAATGAATCTGTTGTTGCCCAACTCACAGTATAAAGATGAAGAGAATAAAATTATAGAAAAGCTGTTAAAAGGAGATTTAAATTATTTAGTTTATTGAACTAGAGTAACTCTTCACACATATGCAGACAAGATGCCTGCAAAGTCTGTCTGGTACTGTTTTGTGGAGGTACAAGGCTGTACGTGCACTGGTATGGTAAAAGTCTGGAACCTAAACAAGAATTCTTATCTTGCAGTTATAAACCTGTAATGGTGAGGATCCAGTGAGAGTGGGTTTGTGTGTATTGTTTGTACGTCCTTAGGTCTGTTTCACCTCATATAGGTGTTGGATAGGGGTGTGGTGATTATTGTATGGGACCGGGAAATTCTGTTTCGAAAAATTTTTGCAGACAAATCCAGCACAGGACAGAGTAAGAATCAGTGATGGGCTTACTTTATTTGTAATGAAATAGCACTGAATGCTACCTACTGTGTACCTTTAAATCATAAATGACCTTGATTTTCTTTTACTCTGTTTTTCACTCGTGAGCATGACACTGACAAGGACTTTTTAATCCATCAGACAGTTTATAGACCCTTTCGTAGTCACAAGAAGCAAAAAGCATCTGACTAGAAGGGAATACATGGGGCAAGTTCCTTGCTGGCTATAATTTTGTTGTCATTTCAAGTATTGTGGTAGTATAATTGATGTGACAGGACTGGGCTTTAGACTTGGTCCCTTAGCTTGTGCTCACTTTCAGTTTTAGTCTCTCTCTGTCATTCATTTTGATTGGATAAGATTTAGGTGACAAACATATGCATAGCTTTGAAGCTTAGAGTAAGGTGTACACAAAATTCAATGTTATATGATGATATAATGTATATAAAACTTGCAGTTCCATGGAAAAGGTAATAATTGGTGTCACCTTACAATACAAGGTAGTGTAGTGTGCTGATCACATAGCCAGCAGGAGGCTCTTTTTTATTAATATTATAATTAAATGATTTTCTGGATAAAGGCCAAAAACAGATGAGAGTTGATTGTGCCTTGTCCACTGTTGCTTGGCTCTATTAGTTGCATTTTATAAAAAGAATTGACTTGACATCTTGTTTTTACAGGTTGTTATTGATGCCTTCAGATTGATCAATGCTAATATGATGGTCTTAGGACATGAACCAAGACAAACAACTTCAAATCTGGGTCACTTAAACAAGCCATCTATCCAGGTAAACCCAATGCTGATAGTCCTGTAAATTTCAAGATTTATTAATTAATTTTGGGGAAAGGTAGCTAAAAACTGTAGGTTACAAATTATTTATTGTTCTCTATAGCATTTTTCCATGCTTTTATAATTGATGGGATTCATCAGTGGAGATATATATGTGAGGGGGTTAAAATTCAGCCCTAAATTAGCTACCTAAGTGGGAATGAATGTATTAAATGTGTACAGCAAATATTCAAGTATAGATTTATGGAAATGCAAACTTTTAGAAGCAACAATTGATGACATAATATGTGATGAAAGATAGTTAGTTTTCAGCCCTGCAATTTAAAAACTGCTGCTTATTAACATCTCAGCTTTAAGATAAGTAACTTAAAGGTAAGTTACTCTCAAGTAAATTGTGGAAGAAGTTCCCTCTTCGTCTTGTCTTTTTACTGTATGTTTTTAGAGATTCTTGCTTATTATGTAATCTAGACTAAACATTGTATTGTGTCTTAAATAATTAATTTCTGATTTTTATGTAATGCAGTAATTTATTGGAAAAATGGTGGAGGAGGATATTCTGTGGATAAAACGAGTGCGTGATTGGCTTCTGCTGTAATGTTTCTTTTGAATACACATTTGTGAAACGTAAATATTCAAAGTTTGATTTCTAAACTTGACTTTCACTAGTAAGACAAAAGTTTTGGTCTTCATCAAAGCAAGACTTTATTTTGAGAAGTAGCTCCTATCCTGAAACAAGTGTTCTCTGGAGCAGTTAATGCTTGTATCCCTGTCGTTCTTCTGCCTCAGTGTTTTTTTCCTTTAAAAACTTGCCTCCCTTACTGTGTATTCTAAAAGGCATGTGTACTTGGAACCGTGAAGCCCAATCCCTGCTTTTTTGTTCCATTACTTGAACAATAGAAGTAATATTTGCTGAATAAAAGTCCAAGAAAAAGACCATACACTAGTCACAGCAGAACTGAAATAAAGGCTGAACTTCTGCTGTAAGAGGACCATCCTTTATGAGGTACTAGACTGCCATACCCCTGTCTTTCAAAAGAGCAGGTTTTTTGTTATTAATGTGTTGAAACCCTTTATTTATAAAAAATGCTAGCAGAAAAAAGTCTTTAAATTAAAGTGTCTACTTCAGGAGGCTCTTTTACTTTTTATTTTTTAATTGGTTAAAACTGCAAATAGTCATGAATAAGAAATAAGGAGCTAGTACTCTTGATTGGATGTAGGCAAGCCCATGCTTGCATGTTTCAGGGCTTTTCTAACTGGGCTTTCCTAGACCATGTGTAATGCTTTCCCTTGGAAACCCCTGTAGTATTGTTCAGCTTCATTATTTTAAGATCACTGTCACTACAGCATGGCATATTTTGGCTGTGGGAGTTTGGGGTTTCTTTTGTTGAAGTGGGTATTTTTTGTTTGTGTTCATTTTTTGCAAGGTGGCAGTGAACTGTTGCAAGTGTCACTGTTAAACTAAAAATCATAGTTTTAAATGACTCTGTTCTTAAAACTGCAAGGGCTCTCACAGTGTTGTGTTGCTTTTATTTTAGGACCATGAATAGAATTCTGACCCAGTTGAGGACAGAAGCAAACTAAATATTTCAGCTAGGCCAGAAGCAGGAATTTCCTTAAAATCTCAGCAATAAGAATAATAGAATAGTTCATGCCTTGACTTTGTTCCTTCCTTTGTGTGTGTGTGTGTGTGTGTGTTTTTTTCTTGTGTTCCCTTATCAACAGCTCTTTTTACAGTTGTTTATTTTTTACATTTGTCCACTCTTTTCAAGAATGGGTTTTGAAAAGGGAGAAGAAAGGAAAGGATAGTGGGAGAAGGCAAAGATATTTGTCAAATTTTAAGAGCTTGAGAAAACTTCCTAAGTATCTCTAATGCACCTGAGTTTAAACACAAACACCAAAATCTCACATGCAATCATTTTGAGTGAGATAAGAAGATGGTAGTGGAAACTACTTACTGCTAATAGTTTCAACTATAAATTACTTGATTGATGGTAAGACCTGTATGTTACAATTTTAATTAGAATAAGTGGACAAGTAATGGTTATCTCTAACTGCTGTTCTCATAAACATAGCTATTCAAGTAGTTTTCTATCTTTGTATATGTGTCTGCAAAAGAAATGTGTTTAAAATGCATGTGAGAACATTTTCAACTTTCATACAGGTAATATTGGAACGCTGAAATGTTAAGTTGTGCAAGATGCAAATGCACATTCATTTTGTATAGCTCTAAAACATATTTAAATATAAATAGGTGGAATGCCTGAAACATAAGAAATACTCACCACTAATTCAGCATATTGTATGTATGATTTATCATATCTCATTTGTAAATGTATACTTCATTTATAAAATTTTATTTGACAATTAGACAATTTTAATTGTGATGAGGATTTATCATAGAATTTTTAACCCCCCCAGATATTAATCCAAATCACCCTTAGGTCATAAATAAAAAAAAAATGCACATAAACAAAATAGAAGATAGATGCATACAGCTATCACTTAACCTAATCTCAGTAGCTCAGGCTGTGATGTACAATTTTAACAAATTGACAAAGGGCATAGTTATAATAAAAAAGTGGTCTTTTTTTAATTTAAAGTTAAAAATTGGTTGTAATATCCAAGGTTGATTTGATGAACATAGTCTAACTGATAACTGAGGTCTTTACTCACTACTTCAGGTATTCTCTCTTTGTGTTGTACCTTTGAGAATGAACTGGGAATATTGACAGTGGTTTTAAATAAATAGATAGCTAATAGTCTTTTGTTTGTAACAGAGCCCAATATTTTAATAGAAGTGATAATCAAATTTATTGAGAGAGGAAGGATTTGAGAGAAATATGATTGTGCATATGTATCGGTCAAATGTTTGCAGGCAGTTACCATTTTTTCTTATTATAGTTGTTGCTGTGTGAAGAAAATCTGTGGTTTAGAAATAGAAAGCATAACTGTCAGTAAATGAACAGTAAAAGAGAAATAGGTCCAGGTATATTTACTTGATACCTGCTTGTTATCTCTGTGTATTTGTTTGTTTGTTTGTTTTTTTATTTGAGTCATGTTTGAAGGTGGTTGTATTTCAATGAGCTTTTCCCTTCTAATATTTCTTCATTTCAGTGGAGATTAAATTTTTCTCCTGAATTTTACAGGCACTAATTCATGGACTAAACAGACATTACTATTCCATCACCATCAACTACAGGAAGAATGAACTAGAACAGAAGGTAATTGTTTCGGGTTTTATTCAGAGGACAGAGAACATTATTCAAATTGTTTAAGATTTTTGGCAATATTCTGATTTCAACTGCTCTTACTTTTCAGTAGTTGTTTTAACTCTCTTGGAGTAGATGGCTTCTCTTGCAGAAAGCACTTGGATATGTAGTCATGATGATGAAACTTTCCAAAACCACATTCTAGTAACCATATAAATAGGTTGATAACACTTTTGTCCATGTATTATGGAGAGTCCTTACGCTGTTCTCTGCACTTAACCGGTTTGTGCAAAGTTTCATATTTTCAGTGATGAAGCTGAAAGACCTACTAGCTGCCTTTCAGCTGGAATTCCTGAAGCTAGGAGCCCATGTTTTCCAAAATGGAATTGTATAACCAAGGGATGTTGGGGTTTTATTTGCTATAGTCACTTCGACAGAAGGTCTTTCAAGTTGATATGAATGGAGCTCCCCAAGACTTTGCTGAATATGAGGAAGTAGTCATGTCTTGCATTTACAGAAGAAATATTATTAAGTGACTTGCAACAAATGTCTTTTACTTTTGCATCAAACTGCCTCAAGCAAAATCTAGCCTGACCATCAGAACCAGGAAGAGAAACCAGGGGCTGGGGATGGGGGGAAAGTAAGGAAAAGAAAGGTTTATTTATCATATACAGAAGTTAATTCTTGAAAAGCCAGATTCTGTCCTCAATTATACCTGTGTATGCTTATAGCCTCATTAGGGTTATAAATTTATCTCATAGCTGAAGTTTATGTAAGATGGTCAGAATAGTTTTTGCACTTAATTTGGACTTTTAGAGAGTTACGAGTAATAATAAGAAAAAAATTAATAATGGAAGAATATGTGTGCAAATCAGGGAGTTAGAGAGAATTTGTGAGATGCACAACTGTTTTTAGGGCAGTATCAGACTTTCAAGACCTCACTGTTACTGAAAAGAATAATGGTTCAACAAAACCAGCTCTCTCAGGAAATATCTGTGAAGCTTCCAGGGGTTATTGTTTCCATTCAAATGCAACAATATGGCAAATCCAATCTTCTCTGAAGTTCCAAGTGTGTATTTTTCTTCATTGGCTTTACATAAGTAAGTTGTTACCTTTGCAAGTGGGAGAATAATCTTGAGCGAGTTAGGAAGACTTTAATCTGTGAGGCAACAACTCTCTCTCACATCTTTCATAAGGCAGCTTCGTACATATCTCAAACCCCCCTCGTGGTGGTGGTGATCTGTTGTCTCCATCTGTGGTAAGAAGAGTACATGCTTCATGTATTAGATTAGGAGCTCATCACACCAAACCATAATTTTAAAATCAAGATAGCCTAGCTAAACTGTCCATATGCAGTTTGCCTACGACTCCTTCTGTCAGTAGCTAAGATCTTGCTAATACAAATTATGACACAAACTTTCAACTCAGTTCATGTGTTTCAAAGCCAGGTTTCTTTGAAAGCTGTACATAGGATGAAACAGGTACTTATATTCAGCTGATAGCAGTTACAGGTTTTACCAGTTCTCAAAGATGTCTAGTAAATGTTTGCAAATGGAAGGTAAACTGAAACTTCTTGCTGAAAGGGTTCTCGCTACAGTCCTCAAGCATTCAGGAGATCGATAAAATATGCTTTCTTTATTCATGAAAATACAGAAATTGCCTTTGTAGCTATTCCTTCACTCTTTCAAGAACGACATCTGTGTCAAGTAAGGCATTTCAAATATTTCTAATAGTGCCTGTGTTTACTACTGTCAAAACTCTACAACACTTTATCATGTTATTAGGGCTGTTTATTTTGTAGGAGGACAAAGACACAAGAAGTCATGCTTTGCTTGCTTAGAAAGTTCACTTCATCATAACTTAGTCAGTTGCATGCATACAGATCAGATAAGTAGTGAATGAATTATTGATTATGAATTTAATCCAAACATTAAAATATTTTTCAGTTTTGTCAGAAGGCAGAAGCTTTAACTATTCCTTATTTGGCAGCTAAAGTATTCACCTTTCTGTTAGCTCTTCTACAATGCTGTTGTGCATTCTCAACCTTCAGCAAAAATACAAAATCCCAGAAAGCAAACCTTCATATTCCTATCAAAGTAAATGTGGCCCAGGTCTCCATGCCTCATTTTCATATTTAGAGTTCAAGAAGTTTGATCTTGAAAAATGTATGCAAAATCTATCATCTACTCTAGCAGAATAGTTGATGATTGTACTTCCTCTATTTAAACATTGACATTGTAAGATCTTTTTTTAAATTATATTATTATTATTATAAATTGGGTTTCTGTCAAAGAGATCTTCATCGTATTGTGAAAGTATTTTCTGATGAATGCTCTAAAGCGGTTTTCTTTTGCAGATGTTGCTAAATTTGCATAAGAAGAGTTGGATGGAAGGTTTGACACTTCAGGACTACAGTGACCATTGCAAACTCAATGAAACAGTAGTGAAGGAGATGTTAGAATTAGCTAAGAATTACAACAAGGTATTCATATCCTATAATGATAGTATAACTGCAGCTGTGTTTATGAAGTGAAAAAATTATTTACTTCATTTCATAAGGAGTTGATCATCACAAATTTTATTCAGAATGACTGTGGTTCTTAGTAATCAACTACATATCATTTCTGTCTGAAGTTGCCTATATTAGCTTTGCCACCCGACTTTTTGCCCTAAGCTGTCAAAGTGTTTAAGTACATAGTTTGCTTTGAAATATGAGTAATCACATCAATTTTGTATTTTTACTTACTGAAGAGAATATAAGATTCCTGTGGATCAAAATAACCAGTTAATCATATTTTTCAATCCTTCAGTCAAGGACTGTTTGATCACTATAGCACAGTAAAGGTTATCTATCTGTATCAGTCCAGTAGATAGATAAATATTTAGAACACATTCCAGAGCCCAATTCAATGTTCTTGTTAGATAAGAAATTTGTTATTGGTGTTGTAAGGAAGAGGAATCACAGCTACTTTTACTGTTTTAATACTGGCACTTAGAAATATTTCTTCGAAATACTTGATCTCAACGAGCACTCTAGGACCAGTAAGCGTTTTTAGTCATTCTTGATGAGTGCTGGGGTTTTTAACTTCTTAGAAGTCCTTAAAACCAAAATTCATTATTATGTTCACTTTTGGTTCTGCTTTACTGGTTTAACTATGTTCAACTATCTTTAACTTTTGATACTACTCATTTCAGATTTTTGCTCAGTAACAGTTTTGTGAATATCTGACAATAAAACCATTCATGAATATTTGCCTTGATCTTTTGCACTAACACTTGGTAATTAAAACCACGTCTGCTGAAAAGCTGAAGTACTTTTCCTTTTGACTTTCTGAAATGTGTTGCTGTTTGATTTTTTTTTTTTTTTTTTTGAGAAAGAGAATTGTATTTTGAGAATCTGTGGCTTGGGGAGAAAGTAAATGAAATCTGAAACACTGACCTTTTCTGTGTTTCTTTCACAGGCTGTTGAGGAAGAAGATAAGATGACACCTGAACAGCTGGCAATAAAAAATGTTGGCAAGCAGGTGAGGTGTGATGAATTAGAGTGAGGTGGAATGATATGCTTCGTTCATTCTAAATACTAATTTTTTTACATGTGCGTAGGTGATTTTAATTCTACGTGCATGATATTCTCAACACTTTAAGTAATAAATTTATTTTTGTTGAAGGTTGGGTAAGGAACTGGGCTTTTGACTATAGGTAACCGGCAGAATATCTACAAGCCATGTTCTACATGTGTTTGTATTACCTGCTGAGGAGCAGTGTTGAGATTTGGGTTTTCTTTTTTCTTCTTCTTTTGTTTTAACTTCTTCTAAGAGGCATAAAGACATCCAAGTCTGTGTCAGGGAAGCCAAAACTGTGGAGGCTTTTAAAAAGTAGTAATCATGGAAACAAAGGTGGGAGTGTTATTTATACATTATCGTGGCTAAAGAGCCAGCTCACCCCAGTCCTCAGTTCACGAACACACTGTCAGTGCTGTGCTCTGATCCACACACAGGCAAGTAAGCTGTGTTCCTTTGTGTTGGTGCTTGAGGAAAACACTTCAGGACCATAGCTGAAACTGAAAACACCCACTCGATTCATTCCATCCCTTTACAATGTCAGGATATAATGTCTTTATAGATAAAGACTCAACAGAAAACTATTTCTATATTTGATTTCAACATAAAGATTGAAGAAATATGATTTTGTGACCAAGAGGGGAGCAAAGCAAATTTGTAAGAGCTTGTGTTCAAATTCAAGAAGGACAATGGAAACAAGAAATAGCTTTTAAAGTATCTAGTGTGTCCTTAAAGAACCAGTATTTATTGTATTGCTAGTAGCAGTAGAAGAATTTAAAGGATTCTGGATTGCTCTTATGTGTCAGCTTCTAGCAGCAATGTCATAACACATCTGCACTATTGTTCAGTCACTCGTGTATTTCTGTAGCATTCAGAACAATGGAGTTTATGCACACCTACACATACATAAATATATACATATAAAATATGTAAGAAGGGTTGTATTTTAAGGGTTATGAAGTCATCTCAAACAGAACTTGAGCTTCACTAGCTGTTACGCACACATGAAAAAAATCTGTCTTGATACAGTTCTTCAAAAAGCAAAGAAATTTTTTCCTGTTAAAATTTTGAAATTTTCTTTAAATTAAAAAATTGTTCAGTGAAGTATTTTCAAGTGAGTTTTTGATGGAACTTACATAAAAAAGCCTTGTAAACAAAGAGCCTCTCACAAGAGGGATATAATGTTATTAGGTGCTTGATTTATTAGGAACAGAAAGAATATTGGTGTGATCTTTGAAAATGAGTTACTTAAGAAGGAAAGCTCACACAGATTTTCTAGCACACTTCTATGTAAACTTAGATGGGTTCATTACATTTTGACAGTAATTCCTTTTTAAAAAAACTTCTAATTCCCATGCATGATTGTCTTCCATATTTTAATTTCTTTACACAAAAGAATGCTACAATAATACTATAATGAATTTTAGAGATTTTTTTAAATGTGCCTGATATTTTTGCAGTATTTGGAGATCAATTACTCAATATCAATTGTGAAATTGAAGAAGTGCATGAGTATGATTTTCAGCCAGAATAATCTCATTGTTCTATGCAGATGCCCACAAATGCCCACATCAATTGAGTAATGGTGTGTGGGGATGTGTATTTTCAGAAAACTGCTCAGGCTTAACATTCAGTTTCTCAGAACATTTGAACAGAGCATTGTACATGTTTTGTGGGTATAGATATGCTAATTTTCTTGCAGTCAACACAACTATTCAAAGACTGTGTTAGATGATGCTTGAGGCTTTACAGGATTAGAACACACATTTGTGCAAAGATCTGAAAACAAATTGCAATGTACCAGAACTAAGATTAAAATATTGGCCTTAGTGAGATGTATAGTAAATTTCACATATTGTGTGTTGTCCTTAAAACTCACAGCTGTCATGGTTACTCTTCAGTTGCTGGATAGAAATTTACTTCCTAAACCTATCCTCAACTTAACTGTGTTAGTATGGACAAATAAAATCTTCTTCATGGAAATCAGTCATTTGGTAGGTCTTGCTAGAATGGAAAATGTAGGAGCATTACTGGCCTGTGTTCATTAACTCATGGACATCTTAAGTAGTCCTGAAATACATGAAATTCTTCAGAGATGTGTTTCAGTCATTCCTCTCATGGCATCCTTTGTATTTCAGGACCCCAAACGTCATTTAGAAGAGCATGTGGACGTGCTGATGACCTCAAACATTGTCCAGTGTTTAGCTGCTATGTTGGATACAGTTGTATTTAAATAACCAATTTACTGTTTGTGATGCTTTCTGTGTATATTTGTTTATTGTTTCTAATACTCACAAGACAGAGACTGTTGAGGCTCTATTTGATTAAACAGAGACATCTGACTTTTGCAATGTAAGCGCATCACTATAACACCTTTCAGTCTCTAATTGTGCATTTGCTTCAATTTCTTTATGTCAGGGTCCTCACAGATTACAAAGTATTCAAGAACACCACGTGGGCAAAAATGTATTACATTTTCATTTAATATTTGGGGGGAAAATCAGTAATACATATATATTTTGATTGTTGCAACTTAATAAAAATACATTTACAAACCTGTTTTAAGTTCTGGGCAATCATTTTTGAAAAAGGACAGCAGGAAATAAGAGAGTAGAAAAAGTATTATTAAAGACTTGTTTCTACCCACTGTAAAACTGCTGAGATATTAATTACTAGGACAGCAAAAATTCTCTAATGGAATTTGGCTCCCATTGATTACCAGATACTCTCATGGAGATGTAAAAAAAAAGAAAATAAACCACAAAAATTGTAGTAGTGCTTAATTCTGAGGATGTACAAAACCCAAAATGCTGAAAATTCCCGTCAGCTCCCTTTGAATATTATTCAAACCCTAATATCTACAGAAGACAACTGACCTTAAAAAAATTAATTCAGTTGCTGATAACTGAATCACACAACTCTCACAAGTGGTGTCATAAATAGCAGTATTCTGAGAATAAACATTAAAGTGATAGAGGCTGTTTTAGGTTACATGAACTCCCGTGAAAGAGAACATACACGAGATGTCCATATATATAAATATATGGAAAGAGTCCCAACTAGAATATGACATTTCTACTGACTGGGGAGGGAAACACAGGAGGGCAGGTGGGTTGGCTGCTTGGTTTGAAGCAGACAAAGCCAAATAACTGGGTTTGGGGAGTGGCTCTGGGTTTTGGGCAGGGGGCTGGTTGGAATTTTTTGTTGGGGTGGGGTTTTTTTTCAACTAGTGGATGGTACTTAGACTGATTTGATTCTTGTGTCTGGGCAGAAGTTTTATTTTTCTGTTTACTGTTGTTTGGGTTTTTTCAATAAATGACAATAATAGTGGCAAGCAAATATTTTAAAACTAGATACATCTCTTGTTGAAGATGATTTTTTAAAAATTTGACTTCTTGTTTGCATACTTAAGGAATAACCCTAAAATTGTCTTATTTTCTGGTTTATGCCCAATATTTTTCTATTTACTTACTCTTTACCATTCAAAGATTTTTCTTTTGTTTGGAATTTCTTATTTAGGCCTTTTAATTTACTATTTTAGAATAACTCTCTCTCAAAGTATATTTAGCATGCACTTACTTCAGAGGGAAACATGCAGATTTTTGCAGCTGCCCTCCTTATGGCCTTCCCTCTGCCCCCACAGTAGGCAGTGGAATATCAGGCTGGGAAAATGGAGACATACCAAACCACATTTGCCTGAGTGTAGTTAAACTGAAGTACTTTCTGGCGATTTACACTGAAAACCTGCGTGTCCTTGAGGAAGGCTGTATTTGGGCCTTGCTGTGGTGGGATATGGGCACCCCGGGGTGAGATGGGGCAGGAGCTGATTGGGGGACCTGCCCTGGGGCTCCTCTGCCAGTGGGGCTCTGCATCCTTGCCGCTCTCTACTCCCACGCGCACGTGTAACACCACGAGGGAGACAGAGTTTGGCAGGTCGTGGGTAACATGGCACTGCAGAGCAGAAGAGAAGCTAGCGCAGTGCTGCAGTGTATACATGCGTGAGAGGCTGGTGTAAGCAGGGAGACAAACCAGTGAGTCTTGCATATTCTAAATTAATTTTGACAAATGTACATCTTGCAGAGGGTAGCTGAAGGGAGTCTGTTGGAGATGCAGATCTGTAGTATAAGCTTGTGCTGTGGTACCCTGCTTTCTGTTCGCTCCTCAGTTTGACTTGGAGGCACAATTTTCCATTTACCAAGATGTTTCATGAATAATAAAAAGGTAGTTTTTTGGGGCATCTTTCCTTATATTTGTCCAGTGCTTTAGAGCTACACAAAGGATTTGGAAGGGTGTGTGTATGCGGTAACCTGAAAAGCAGCAGCCCATATACCATCTTGGAGGAAGAAAGAGGTTTTCAAGCAGCCTCCTTCTGAGCCTCCAGCCGCAATGGACCAGACCTTCATTAGCAGCTTGACCCCTTGTCACCTGTCAACGCGAAGGACGGGCATATTGTATTAGCAAACCTCTCTACATTCTATGACGATTCTGTAACACCCCCTGCCATTGCATATCCCCCTATTATACCAGTTTAGGAGTTGTGCTCTGAAGATTTTTGGCATATATTAGCACTTCCATGTGATTGGCAGCATACCACAGAATTCATTGCAGCTCTGCATCTATATGGGTGTAGCTCTGTAATTCAGGGCAGCGTTTCCGAGGGTTTATCTGCGTTTTGATCCATCTCCTGCCTGTATAAGTCCATTACCTTTCTGTTGGTTCAAGCAGGGAAAGGGAAGGGTGAGCATGATGGTGAAACAAGTGTCAGAAACATTAGTTAGAACTGATAATAATAAAACTATTTTCTTAGCACTGAAAGGAGAAGGTAGTGTATGGAAAGTTGCATGCACTGTACCACCCGACTGTGACTGGAACAGTGAACTGCTTGCGTTTTGCTTCATAATTTATCTTATTAGAATCATTTCCTTGCAGAGAGAGTGTGTATGTTGGCATTTATGAAACACTAAATAACTGAAGTAGCTCACGGTTAAGCAAAGTAAATGACCATGAGATGAGAGCATTGAAATACACATTCTGACAAGTCATCCTGGTTCTAGTCTTCTCTGGATTTGAGTTTGCAAAAGTTTCAGCCTGGCTTCAGGCAATTGTACGATTGTTTGGTCTTATTATGTGATGGTTCAGACCGCATTAGTTGTCAGTTGAATTTGAAGCCGGCTGCTGATGTCACTTGGGAAGAGATGTGGTCTGTAAAATACCTGAAGTCCAAACCGCTAAGGGGACAATACTGAGAAAAATGGAAGAGGAAAGGAGAGCTCCTCCCTGGGTAAAAATAAAACCCAAAATCCAACACCCCCCCCAAAAAAAAAAAAAATCAACAAAACAAGAAAAAACAAAACTTGTGCTTTTAAAAACTCTCAAGCTTCTCTAGGAAGGGAAATTGAGACTGGTGCTTGGCAGAGGAGGGGTGGCGAGCGGGTCCCCTGAGCTCAGGCGCAATCTTCACGCCTTGGATGGTCCCGCTTTCAGTAGCCCGAGGCTCTACCGGGAACACCGCGGGACCCACGGGCCGGTCCCTTCGCCTTTAACTGGGTGTCTCTCGCAGCCCCCGAGGGTGCGCGGGCTCTGCCGCTCCCGCCGGGGTGTCACCGGGGCCGGGCCAGCGCGCTCCCCGCCTCGGACCCGGCCCGCGGTCTCTGCCGAGACACCCCTGGGCCAGAGGGTGCCGGCGGCCCCTTCACAGCAACCCACCGTGGTTTGGGCTTCTCCGCTACGCCCTCGAACCTGCGACACGAGCCGGGCCGGGGCGCGGCTCATGGAAGGGTGCTACCAAAATCTGAGGCTGTCCGCGGACGAGCACGGAGGGGAAAGGGGCACCGGGTGAAAGAATCCGCGAGCAGGATGGGATGGTGGGCGCCTTCCACGCTGTTTTGCTGATAATCTCCGGCATTACGGCTCCCAGATAAAATATTTATTTACTAAAGAACCCGTAAACATCGCAGCAAATACATTAGGGCACTTCGGCTGCGGGGCTTATGATTATTTCAGAAGTTAAAAGAGATGATACGCGGCCGCCGTCAGCGGGGATGGAGGGTGTATTTTCCCCCGCAAAGCAGGCACGGGTGGGAAGGGTGGGGGCGTTGTGCCGAGGGTCGCTCAGAAGAGGTGGGGGAGAGGGGCTGCGCCCCGCTGGGGACAAACCGCGGGAGTGAGCTGAGGGCAGCGTCTGCCCAGCCCGGCGCTCCCCTCCGTAACCGGTCCCCGAAGCCCCCAGGACCCGCTCTCCATCCTGACGCACAAAGGTAGAGGACACGCGCGCAATATTTGGGGAATCGTAGGGTTTGGATTTATTTTCCAGCCGTAGTCAAAAAAAAAAAAAAGCTGGAAAGGTCACATAATAATGAGCTCTCACAGCAAACACACTCTTCCCTTCCCCCTTTCCCTTCCTTCTATCTCACAATAAAATCATCTCCTTCAATTTGCCATGATCATCGCGACCAGGAGCCAGGTGATTATCCTAATTAATGTCTATCTAATTAAATTACTGTCAGCGGTTAACCAATGGCAGAAGCCGTTTCATCCTCTCCACAAGCAGCAAGATCAAAAGTGAGTCTTTCCTGATTGCTGCATAGTGTCAATTGGCCAATCTCTTCTCCCTGGGAAGGGAGGAAGGAAAAAAAAAAAAAAAAAAAAAAAAAAAAAAAAAAAAAGTAAATCAAACGTTTGGGAAGCATTTGGTGGATGAAGTGCTTTCTGCCTAGTGAGGGTCCCAGGATGTCTAGCTTCTGATGCTAAGGAGCCCTTTCAGATCCAGGGACTGAAGGGTTATTACTGTGGTGCTAGAGCTATGCAGCTGGAGCATTGTCTTTCTCCCTCTATCATGCTCTCCAAGAAATTTCTCAATGTGAGCAGCAGTTACCCACATGCAGGCGGATCTGAGCTTGCCTTGCATGATCATCCCATTATCTCGACCACTGACAACCTGGAGAGAAGTTCACCTTTGAAAAAAATTACCAGGGGGATGACGAATCAGTCAGATACAGACAATTTTCCTGACTCCAAGGACACACCAGGGGACGTCCAGAGAAATAAACTCTCTCCCGTCTTGGACGGGGTCTCTGAGCTTCGTCACAGTTTCGATGGATCTGCTGCAGATCGCTATCTGCTCTCTCAGTCCAGCCAGCCCCAGTCTGCTGCCTCTGCTCCTAGTACCATGTTCCCTTATCCCAGCCAGCATGGACCTGCTCACCCAGCCTTCTCCATCGCCAGCCCCAGCCGCTACATGGCTCACCATCCTGTGATCACCAACGGAGCTTATAACAGCCTCCTGTCCAACTCTTCTCCGCAAGGCTACCCCACGGCGGGCTACCCGTACCCCCAGCAGTATGGCCATTCCTATCAAGGGGCACCTTTCTACCAGTTCTCCTCCACCCAGCCGGGGCTGGTTCCTGGCAAGGCTCAGGTCTACCTGTGCAACAGGCCACTCTGGCTGAAATTTCACCGGCACCAGACGGAGATGATCATCACGAAGCAGGGAAGGTAAGCCACCGCGCGGACCCTCGCTGGGTGTCGGGGCTGAGCGCGGGCTGCCGCAGCGGAGCCGCCCGGAGCCTCCGCCGCCCCGGCGGAGCCGTCCGCCCGTCACCGGGGTCCCTGCCCTGGTCGTCGGGAGCGTCAGTGCCGGTCCCCACCGGGGCACCCTTCCTTGCCTCCCTCCAAGTTCCCGCGCCCGCTGCCCTCATCCCTTCCCCGCGGAAAGCTCGACTCTCCGGGGAGGGGATTTCTTTTGATTTTTATTTTCCGGTCAATACCGGCAGTCGTGAGGATAAAGCACAACGGCTGGTTCCTTCGCGTGTGCCTGTCGCTGGTTTGCTTTCCTTCTTCCCTTTCGTTTTTCTTTTCCTTTTTTTTTTTTTCTTATAGGCGCATGTTCCCTTTCCTAAGCTTTAATATTTCTGGTCTCGACCCCACGGCTCACTACAATATTTTTGTGGATGTAATTTTGGCGGATCCCAACCACTGGAGATTTCAGGGAGGCAAATGGGTTCCTTGCGGCAAGGCGGACACCAATGTACAAGGCAAGTTTCTCCAATTAACACTTTTTCCGACACATAGTAGGTGAGAATGATTAATTAATGCCTTCGTGAACTGGCTCTGGCGAATTCTTAAACGCGAATGAACCAACGACGCCTTTTTCTTTCTTTTTTTTTTTTTTTTTTTTTTTTTTAATACGGAGGGTGGAGGAGAAAGTAAAATGTGTTCGGAAAGAGCTGTTTTAATCCTTTTCGGTTAAAATGAAGGCAGTTTTGGCAGTAAAATATTGGTAACCTAACGGGGTCCTTCGCCCTCGTGTGCTCAGGGGCAGAACCCGAGGTATACGCGAGAACTGTGATGTGGTTGTGTTTTTGGCTGTTTTGCTTAGGAAACCGGGTTTACATGCACCCCGACTCCCCCAACACGGGAGCCCACTGGATGCGCCAGGAAATCTCCTTTGGGAAACTAAAACTTACAAACAATAAAGGAGCATCAAACAACAACGGACAGGTCAGTGGGGGAACGCAGGCGCTCTGCTAGAATTATTTTTATTGCTTCAGGCAAAATCCTGCCGTTTCGGAAAGGACGTGTATTTTTTTAGATTGTGTCGTTAGGTGAAAATAAAAGAGGGGGGGTGGTGAGAAAGTCCTCCCGTCTTTTTGCCATGGGCCTCGACGCCCCCGAGCGCGTTGCCCAAGGTGGCACCGCTGCCCGGTGCGGCCGGAGGAGCCCGCAGCCGTCCCAGGGAGGCGGCGGCCAGCGGACATCGGTCTCCTCGTCGTTCTCTCTCTAATTTCTTCTTCCCTTTTTTTTTTTTTTTTTCCCGCGGCCCCCTCCCTCCTTTTGCCATGCCTGACAGATGGTGGTTTTGCAGTCCCTCCACAAGTACCAGCCCCGCTTGCATGTGGTGGAGGTGAACGAAGATGGGACAGAGGATACCAACCAGCCGGGCAGAGTGCAGACCTTCACCTTCCCTGAGACCCAGTTCATAGCAGTCACCGCCTACCAAAACACCGATGTAAAGAGCTCCCTGGTTTATTCCGCTCGCGGTCGCCGCGCTCCCCGCAGGACACCCCGCCAGGGCCGGCCCGGAGGCTGCGCGCTCTCCCCGGGTCTCCGGCGCCGCGAGATGAGCCTCCCTGTCTCTCCCTTTGTGCCATTCCGCCCTGACCAGTTCCAAGCACGGCCATAGCCGCTCGCGCCGTCTTCAACCCGGGAGCCCCCTCCCGCAGCGGCATCGCCCTCCCCTCCAGGCCGGGCGCGATCCTGCCCCTCCGCCCGGGGCTGGGCGCTGCTTCGCGTTTATCTCCCAGTCGGAAACAGCTCAGTTAGCTGTTAAGCTGTTAGCTTAAGCTTTAAGTCTGCAAGGATCAATTAACATCCTCATTGATTGCGCCGGGGGTGACAGAGAAACTTCCTCAAATTAAAAGCTCGTTAATGCCTTGGATGTGTTTCGGAGTGGTCTGTCTTTGCTACAGACTGGTGCCCCCTTTTCAAATGGCATATGTTCAGTCCACATTCGCGCCTTAATTATTTTTCTCCATGCAAATGCAAACTCTTAGATACCGTTCTGTCGTACGTTTTGCCTCATTTCTGGATTTCAATATCTTCATACGCCTGCAGTAGGAATTCTGACACGTCTTAAAACGTGGGGTTAAATACTAAATTTTATCGTACTTTTTACAATAAGGCAAATCTTAAAATTAGACTGTGATGTCTATAAGCACGCCAGATCTTTATTTTTCACGGTTTAAAAGCAATTTGATTGATTAGAGTAAACCTTAGTCCTTTAAAAACGTGTTGGCTGCAGCGGGGTATATTTTTCAGGCTTTCACAACGTCAGTTCTGTTCCTCTCTTTCTCTAGATCACACAGCTGAAAATAGATCACAACCCTTTCGCAAAAGGATTCCGAGACAATTATGACACGTAAGTAAACCTGATTTTTATTACCCTTCTACCGGCTGCTCACACATGTCAAAGGGGGAAGCTTTAGGATGCAGGCTGGTTTAATTTCACACCGAGATGTGTAATGTCAGGCTTTTCCAGAGCCCTCCGGGAGCAAGGCACCCGCCCGCTCCCGCGCAGGGGCTGTCCCTGCGGCGGGGCCCCACTCAGCCCTGCGGCCGCCTCCACGCCTGGGGCCGCGCTGCCCGCACCTGAGTCCGCATCTCGCTTTGGCACTTGCGGCGGTTTTGTTGTTGGTTTTTCCTGGCACGTATCTTGGCGCCTCTTTCCAAGTTTCCGTTTCACTTGCGCACAAGGGCTCCGAAAAAAGCACCCGAGCATCACGGGCTCAGTCCCCGGCAACCCGCCGGGTCTGCATCATCCCGGGGGCCGCAGAGCCGGTGTCCAGAGGGAAATGTCTTCATGTCGTTTTGTTCTTCTCCGGGGTTGGATTTTTTTTTTCGCCCTCATCTCCCTTCTGGGTGGAGCTAAAGCCTCAGAAGTTTTAATCGTTTTTTGTCCCTGTACTGCTTCTGCCCGTCCGCCCCTGAGGCGTTCCCACGGTTTGACCCACCAGCCATGCCCTCTGCGGCAGATGCGGCTGGTGCCTCTCCGAGTGAGGCTCCGGGAGGGCGTCAACCCCCGACCCCCGCCGCCGCCTTTCTCGGCCCTCGGGTCTCGAATGGGGATATCCCGGCCTAGCAGGCCTGTCGGAAGGCTTCCCCTGCCTCGGGGTAAGCGGGAGGTGGAGGGCACAGGGCGGCTCACACGCCCGAGGGGGCGGGCGGTTTTGGAACTGACCTGCCCCGCTGCAAGCTCCAGGTCTGCGGGACAGGACCCCGGCTTTGAGAAGGGAAGCCTTTTTCCTTTCTAAACTGCGGCGGGAAGCGGCCTCCCTTGGAGCGCCTCAGCGCGTGTCTTCAGCGCCTTCTTCAACCTCTCTCTGCTGGACCGTAGTCTAGCACCCACCAGCAGCAGGATTTCAGGACAAGCGTGGAAACAACGCCGAGGGCTGAACTAGTGAGAGAGGGGCCCGAGGCCGAGCTGTAACTCTCCTCAGGGGACAGCTTGTGGTGCGGCCGCTGTCTTCCACGGGCGGGGGTCGCGGCGGCTGTGGAGGGGAGCCGGCCTGTCCCTGGTGCCACGGAGGGCGGCAGCCGGGCCTGCTCGCTCTCCGGGACCTCTGCGAGGAGTATGTGCAGCCTTTGGAAAGGCTGCGCGGCCTTCGCCCCCAGCCACAAGTGCTTTTCTCTTTTTAATAGGAAAAAAACTTTATAGGGCGTCACTTGAAAGGAGACGGGGGGAGGGGGAAGCTTCAATGTTGTCTAGCACGTTGAATTTGTTTAAGGGCCAAGTTTATTTTGGATAAGAAATTCCAGGAGGCGTGGAGGGTTAATTAAAGCACAGTTTTAGCCTGAAGTAAATACAGATAGTAGTTATTCATCCATTAAAGTTTTTATAATCGCAAATTGCAGCCCAGCATGGGAGAATTATATATAGGCCATGCAGGGAACACTGGAAGTGTCTGGCTTTACATTTCCTACAGTAGGTGTTTAAAGATTAGCTTAATTTAAACTGGGTAAAATGTTGATGGTTCGTCTGCGACTCCCAATAATAAGTGTTAAACAGCCGATAGAATTCCGTAGTCTGCCACTCATGCTGTTCGCGGCAAATGACCGGGCTGCCTGTTGCGCATGTGGCGGGACCGGTCAATGTGTCACCGCGCGGGATTTCACGCCGTTGGGATACGGGTTCGGACCCGAGAGAGGGATCTCGGCCCCGTCAAGAAATGGCCAACAGGTTACGAATGATTTGCTCTTCGTGCTTCCCCCCGTCTTTCTTTCCTCTTCCCCGTTAAAGGCCATTGGCGCTACTGGTGCCAGAGGCAAAGCCCGGAGAGGAGCGCAGGCTCCCGGGTCGGGCAGGAGCGCGCTGGGACGGCGCCGTCCCTTCCCGTCCGTCCCCCGAGGGCTGCGGCCGGCCGGGTGCCGC